ATATAGATCATAGCTTTTTACCTCAGGTGGCGGATGATTGCCCTAATTGAAATGATAAATTTCTTCAAAACATGTTTGTTTCCCAGAGTTTGAGTTAACAGCTCTTGGAGCTAGATAACGCTTTTTGTCATTTTAATTACTTTCGGTATGCAACCACACACACATTCACAAAAAAAGAACTTCCTAAATTCACTCATGTGTCGTGGTATTAAAGCAGGATTAAAATTTTTGCTAGTGTATAAGGTAAAAGATTTCACTATTGAATTTTCTTCTTTGATGCAGCACTCCTGAGACTTAGTCAGCCCTTTAATGGAGAACCCTCAACTTTGGATTCAATGACTGAAGAAGCTCATTGGTTTCGAAAAATAGGTAAAAAGACAATTCTGGAACCAGCAGGTGGTGTGGTGGTTAAAGGGGCTGGACTCCCATATGGCCAACTGCAATTTGAATCCTGGACCTGGTGGCTTGCTTTCGTGCTTTCTCTCTCTCTCTCTCTCTCTCTCTCTCTCTCTCACTCTGTCCCTCTGGTCAAATTAAAATAAATAAAGTTAAATAAAATAATTCTTTTTTTAAAAAAAAGATACTGTGGCTATGAAAAACACTGTGGGGTGAATCAAGCAGGTATGGGTTCAAATTCTGACTCTTTCATTTGTACCTATTGGTGTAGGGATAATTTGCTTAATCGGTTTCATTATTTATAAAATGGAAAAATTGTATATATTTGATTTGCATGTGTTTTGTTTTTGTTTTTGTTTTTTTAAGTTGTGCTTTAGGGTTTGCGTACTCAGAGAGAGAGGAAGAGAGAGAGAGTGATAAATCACTCCCAAGGGGGAAAGGCCACACTTCAGTCCCTTCTCCTCCATTCTCCTCTTGGACCTTGGGCACACAAACACACACGTACATGCCCAGCATGATTTCCAAGCTTCCAGGTCAAGGACTTGAACCACCCAGTCAGCCACGTGGGATCCAGCACCTTAACTTCCATGCTACCGGCTGGCCCCGTTGTTAAGTGTTTTAAATGAAA